TAAAGTTCTCCTGCATCACAGCCTGACACGTCTCTTCCTCCTTTATTCTACCAGGCCTTTTCCAGCTTCACCCCCTACAGAGCCAGGGCTCAACAGGCCATCGGGGTGGGTGGAAAAGGGGCACAAGGCACCTCGTAGGAAATGTGTCACCAACACCACCAGCACTATCTGGCTCCGGAGGGTCTGTCAGAAAGTTCCACCAGCCCATCCCTGATCACACTCAGGCTTTGAGAAGACAACGCTCCCTACGACATTCCCTTTGCTCCCACCCCAAACACCTCCAGTCCCTCTCACACCATCTTCCCTCACAGCAGGTCCCAGGAACACCCACACAAGCTCCCATGTCCATGTCCCCTCGTGCTCCAAGGACCTTGGGTAACCCATGCAGGGTGTCCAGCTCACCACCCACCCTTATGAGGGCTCCTCAGCTCCCCCAGCTCTGGGGCCTTGTTGCCCTGTCCCTCTGGCTGCACGGTCCCCATTCCTCCTGCCTGGGAGTGCCCGGGCCAGGATCTCACCTTGTTGTGGCTCTGCAGCTGATCCCTGATGGAGATCCCCCGGCCACCAACCCCTGCTCACTGCAGGGCCCCACAGGGACCCCTTCTGGGGGTCTCTGCACCACCCTCCTCCCTCTCCAGGGGTCCTGCAGCACCTGTGCAGGTGACCCCAAGCCCCCCTCCCTCTGCTCTCAGGTCCCACAGCAAGTCCCCTTTGTGAGGTCACCGTCACTGGGCATTCCTGAGGCACAGCACGGACACCTTGGAACCAGGGACAAGCAGGGACAAGCCTGGCACCCTGCTGGGAAGGTGGAGCTTCTGAGGGGCTGCACCATCACATTCCCTTTTTTCCCCTTCCTGCCTCTCTGCCTCCCAACTTGGACCTTAAAACATGGATTTTTGGGTTATAAAGATCTTTGGCTGCCCGAAATTGCTCCTCACCAGTGACATTCTCTCTTTCTTCTCCTTTAATATGCCTTTTTTTTTTTTTTTCTCTGCAAAAAGGCTCCTGGCAAACAGGTGAGCTCTGGGCTGACACAGGAGCTCGGCGTCTCCAGGGCTGATGGCAGCACTGAAATATTCATCAAAAGCCAATTAAAATAACATCCCTGGAGCAGCTGGAATGCACAGAGCTCCACACACAGCTGGATTCCAGTTTGGTTCAAAGAGGAAAAAAGCCCTTCCCTAAAAAAAACACCTACCTCTTAGAAAGGAGAGAGGGAATTGGTTTGGATCTGGTTTTATTTCTCGATTTAGTGTTAATAGCACTGCAGAGAAACCTCGTTGATCAACTTAAGCTCATCCTAAAGTCAAGCCTAACCAACAAAAAGACAAATTTAAGTGATCCATGCTCTTGCAGTTGCTCACCTTGGAATTCACCCAGCTTGACATCAACCCTTGGGCAGGAATGGGTGCAGGATTCCTCCTCCCTGCGGCCCTGAGACGTGTCTGAGCAGCCAGACCTGGCAGGGTGTCTGTCTGCCTCATCCTGAGGTGTCTGCCTCATCCCAAACCTGTGCCAGAGACGCTCAGTTTGGGCACAGTCGGCTCACACAGGTTCAGGGGAGCACTGGGAGGAGTTTCAGGTCCACCTTGCCCACATTCCTCTCTCCCATCCACCCTGGGAAATCCACAGCCCCTTCCCAGTTCTCTTGTCCCCATTCTTTGGAGACACCAAGCGGTGGGATGGGCTGGAAGGCGCCTCACAGATGGCACCTCTTCCAGCGTCTTTCCCAACGGGATTCACATCCACCCAGCCAGGATCCTGCTCCCGGAACAATTCCAAACCCCATCCACAGAGCAGTGGAATTTTGCTCTCCCTCCAAGAGACCTGGGCTTGACCAAATCCAAAGTGATGATGATGATGATGATGATGACAAGGACATTCTCATGCAGCAGCTGCTCCCAATTCCATGAACTCAGAGTCCTGGAATATCTGTGGCCACCACTCCCATCCCCATCCCATCCCTCTGTGTCTCTGCAAACCTGTCCCGTTCTTTTGGGTAATTCCCATTTCCACAGGGCTGCACGCTGGTGGGAAGCAACCCCCACTCCCTGTGGGAACTGGCACAGGCTCTGCTGTAGGACAGGACCTGGAAAGAGGGTCACTGGGAGTTAAAGAGCTGGAATTCTATGGGATAGGGATGCTCAGAGCTTGGGGGGGGTCTCACCTGGGCTCCCAGAGCTGCGGCCGCAAAGCCCCATCCCGAGCCAGCTTCCACCTGGGATAGGCTGCACCCAGGAATTCCATACCCATCTGCTCCAGTTTCCTGGGAATGGGGAGGGCAGAGCAGGGAACGGGGTTGGACCCAAAACCCAACCATTCCCAGAGAAACAGGTCACCACAGGGAAGCTCCGTTTTGGGAACGACGCGTCCGGCGGAGCAGCAGGACGGGATCTCCGACGGGATCTGACCAAGCCACCCGACCTTCATCCTGCTGGAAGGTCCTTGGATGTCCTCTGGATCCCACAGACACCCTGCCCAGGTGAGCTAATGGTTCTGCTCCAGGCTCTCATCCTTAAATCCCAAAATCTTGTGAGATCCTATCCGGGTTGGTATTTGATGAGCAAGCGAGTCCTGCTCCATCCCGTGCTGTCACCGCGACTTCAGCTCTTTCCCTTGTGATCCTCCCTCGTGCTCCGACGTTTCTGTGGTCATCAGCTCTGCAATTAGCATATTTAAGCATCCAAAATTAGCACGTTTAATGCAGCAGCCGTGGTTATTCGGGTGCTGTCGCAGCAGCTCCGGCTGTGCCACCTCCCAGCGATTCCTTGGCTGGAAGAGGGGGTTATCCCTAAAGAATCTCCAAAGGAAGCAGCAGGAAGGTCTTATCCTCCCACCAGCACCCAGAAAACCTTCCTTGGCTTTTTTGTCCCATCCCTGGAAGTGCTCAAAGACAGGTTGGACAGGGCTTGGAGCAACCTGGGCTAGTGGGAGGTGTCACTGCCCACGGAATGAGATGATTTTTCAAGGTCTCTTCCAACCCCAAGCCCCTTTTATTCCATAATTTTGCCACGGAGCGAGGTGGAAATGCGGATTGTGACTCATCCCAACATCCACGTGAGGTTTTTTTCCTGCCAAACCTCTCAGTGTCTCACGGAAGATGCAGGACAGGCACGGAGAAGGAGCTTCAGTGCTCCTTCCTTGGCTCCACATCTTTTAATGGGCAGGAGATAAAAATGACCCCTCTCCCAACTCCCAGGAAAGAGGTCCCCAAGGATTCAGTTTTCCCTGAGATTTTCCCTAAGGAAAAGGGCACATTTCCAGGTCTCACCCGGGAGAAAAGGAAGGAAAAATGGGTGATATTCTACTACTCCTCTACACTGGGGCCATCCAGGGCTTTGAGGGGGGAAAAGTGGGAATTCCTGGCTGGGTCTCCCTTAATTTCACTTTCAGAATTCTAATTTAGAGCACAGGGAAATGCCAGCTGGAAGTAGGGCTGAGGGGTGGGGGTAGAGGGGTACCTTACAAACCCTCCCCCACCCACGGGAAAGCTCTGCTCATTTTTAATCTCAGCTCAAGTGCATTAAAGATGATTAAAACCTGCTCTCATCATAATCCCTTTTGGGGTGGTAGGGGGAACTGTGCAACCCCCTTCTCTCCCCTGCATCCCCTTCCTCTTCTTGCTTCCCTGTACCCCATTCCCTCCCCTGAATTCCCTTCCCTGCCTCTGCACCACTCTCCTTCCTCCCTTCCCTATCTCTGCACCCCCTTCCCTTCCCTGAACTCTCTTTCCTTCCCTGCACTTCCATTCTCTTCCCTGCACCTCCATTCTCTTCCCTGCACCCCCTTTTCCTTCCCTTTTTTCCCTCTGCACCCCTTTCCCTAAAATCCCTTCCCTGCACCTTCATTCCACCCCCTGCACCCCCTTTTCCTTCCCTTTCTCCCCTCTGCACCCCATTCCCTAAAATCCCTTCCCTGCACCTCCATTCCACCCTCTGCACCTCCTTTTCCTTCCCCCCTTTCTCCCCCTGCACCCCATTCCCGTGCAGCCCCTTCCTTTCTTCCACCTCCTTCCCTAAACCCTCTTCCCTTCCCTGCACCCCATTCCCCTCCCTGCACCCCATTCCCTTCCCTGCATCCCCTTCCCTTCCCTGCACCCCATTCCCTTCCCTGCACCCCATTCCCTGTCCCTGCACCCCATTCCCTTTCCCTGCACCCCATTCCCTGTCCTTGCACCCCATTCCCTTCCCTGCACCCCATTCCCTCCTTTGCACTTCCATTCCCCTCCCTGCACCCCATTCCCTTCCCTGCATCCCCTTCCCTTTCCTTCACCCCATTCCCAGCTCCTGCATCCCCTTCCCTGTCCTTGCACCCCATTCCCCTCCCTGCACCCCATTCCCTGTCTCTGCGCCCCATTCCCTTTCCCTGCACGCCATTTCCTGCTCCTGCACCCCATTCCCTTTCCCTGCACCCCATTCCCTGTCCTGCACCCCATTCCCTGTCCTTGCGCCCCATTTCCTTCTCCTGCACCCCATTCCCTGTCCCTGCACCCCATTCCCTGTCCCTGCACCCCATTCCCTGCTCCTGCACCCCATTCCCTGCTCCTGCACCCCATTCCTTTCATCCCTTTTTCCTTTTCCCCGTTGCTTTCCCTCGCACCCCCTTTTCTTCCCCTGCACCCCCTCCTACCTTACACCCCCTTCCCTAACCCCTCTTCCCTCCCCTGCACCCCATTCCGTGTCCCTGCACCCCATTCCCTGTCCTTGCACCCCATTCCCTGTCCTTGCGCCCCATTTCCTTCTCCTGCACCCCATTCCCTGTCCCTGCACCCCATTCCCTGTCCCTGCACCCCGTTCCCAACTCCTGCACCCGAACAGGGACTACGTTTCCCGACAAGCCACGCGGCAGCGCCCGCTGACGGCGGCGGAAGGTGCCGAGCGGAGCCGAACCCACCGAGCCCTTCCGAGTCTGTCCGAACCCACCCGAGTGAACCCGAACCCACCCGAGTCTGCCCGAATTTACCCGAGTCCGCCCGAACCTACCCGAACGCAGCCGAGTGGCCCCGAGCGCAGCCGAGGGTGAGACGCGCCCCCCGCCCCATTAAAGGGCCATTTGGGGGTTCAGGAGCCCCCCCAAACTGCGGGGTCGGGGAGAAACAGGAGCGGGAGGATCCCCAGAGTGGGGCGAGGGGGGGCAGGAGGGGTGGAAGGTTCGGGGTTGGGAGGAGGGGAAGAAGCAGCGGGAGGAGGGGGGTGCGGGAGTGGGATTTGGGGGGGAAGGGGAGGGTTAGGACAGGGTGCAAAGCTGGGATTTGGGGTGCAGAGCTGGGATTTGGGGTGCAGAGCTGGGATTTGGGGTGCGGGGCGCACATCTGGGTGCAGACGTAGGGCTTGACGTGGAGACCTGATATTTTTTGGGGGGGTTGAGGGGAGGTGTGGGGTGCACACCTGGGATTTGGGGTGCGGGGCTTAGTGTGGGGGTGCCGATCTTGGGCTCGGCTTAAGCGGCGAGGCCCGGGTGTTAGACCCGGGATTTGGGGGTGCAGGGGAGCCATGAGAACTGGGAATTGGGGTGCAGGGAGGGATTTGGGGTGCAGGGAGTTATTTGGGGTGCAGCCCTGGGGGTGCAGGAGGAGACCTGGGCTGCAGGGAGGGATTTGTGGGGGCAGCCCTGAGGGTACGGGGGAGATTTGGGGTACAGAGGGTGATTTGGGGGTGCAGGAGATGATTTGGGGCAGAGCCCTGGGGACACAGGGGTGATCTGAGTCCCAACCCTGGGGCTGCAGGTGGGAGATTTGGGGGTGCAGGGGGCAATTTTGGGGTCCAACCCTGGGGCTGGCCCGCCCCTCCCACCTGTCCCCTCCCCGCCCAGGTGTCCCCACGTGGCAGGTCTGGCCCCGGGCCGGTGTCACCGCAGCTGTCCCCACTTTCCAATCCCTGCAGTTGGGCCACGTCAGAGCCCAACCCGCCCCTCCCGCTCCTCTTCTGCCAGAAACACCCAAAAACCGCCCCCCAAAACGATCCCCCCGTGTCCCCCCCAGCAGGGACGGGACCATGACGGAGGTGACCAAGCGCATCCTGGTCACGGGGGGCACCGGCCTGGTGGGCAAGGCCATCGAGAAGGTGGTGGCAGATGGGGAGGGGCGGCCGGACGAGCGCTGGATCTTCGTGTCCTCCCGGGACGCCGACCTGACGTGAGTCGGGATTCCCCCTGGGGATCTCCCCGCGAGCTGCTCTGCTGATCCCCAAAATTTCCCCATCCCAGGACTGAGTTTTTTCTTGTAAACCCCCCAGTCTGACACTGAACCCCAAAATTTCCCTATCCCAGGACTTTTTTCTTGTAAACACCTCAGTCTGACACTGAACCCCAAAATTTCCCCATCCCAGGACTGAGTTTTTTTCTTGTAAACACCCCAGTCTGACACTGAACCCCAAAATTTCCCCATCCCAGGACTGAGTTTTTTCTTGTAAACACCCCAGTCTGACACTGAACCCCAAAATTTCCCCATCCCAGGACTGAGTTTTTTCTTGTAAACACCCCAATCTGACACTGAACCCCAAAATTTCCCCATCCCAGGACTTTTTTCTTGTAAACACCCCAGTCTGACACTGAACCCCAAAATTTCCCCATCCCAGGACTTTTTTCTTGTGAACACCTCAGTCTGACACTGAACCCCAAAATTTCCCCATCCCAGGATTGAGTTTTTTCTTGTAAACACCCCAATCTGACACTGAACCCCAAAATTTCCCCATCCCAGGACTGAGTTTTTTTCTTGTAAACACCCCAATCTGACACTGAACCCCAAAATTTCCCCATCCCAGGACTGAGTTTTTTCTTGTAAACACCCCAATCTGACACTGAACCCCAAAATTTCCCCATCCCAGGATTGAGTTCTTTCTTGTAAACACCCCAATCTGACACTGAACCCCAAAATTTCCCCATCCCAGGACTTTTTTCTTGTAAACACCCCAATCTGACACTGAACCCCAAAATTTCCCCATCCCAGGATTGATTTTTTCATTGGAAGGGTCCCAATCTGCTCTGTTGACCCCACTGAATCCCAAAATTTCCCATCCCAGAACTGGGTTTTTCCTTACAATCCCCACAATCTGCTCTGTTGACCTCACTGAACCATAAAGTTTCCCATCCCAGGACTGAGTTTTTTTCTTGTAAACACCCCAATTTGCCACTGAACCCCAAAATTTCCCATCCCAGGATTGGGGTTTCCCTTGGAAACCCCCCAGTCTGACACTGAACCCCAAAATTTCCCCATCCCAGGATTGAGTTTTTTCTTGTAAACACCCCAATCTGACACTGAACCCCAAAATTTCCCCATCCCAGGACTGAGTTTTTTCTTGTAAACACCATAACCTGACACTGAACCCCAAAATTTCCCCATCCCAGGACTTTTTTCTTGTGAACACTCCAATCTGCCACTGATCCCCAAAATTTCCCCATCCCAGGACTGAGTTTTTCATTGGAAGGGTCCAAATCTGCTCTGTTGACCCCACTGAATCCCAAAATTTCCCATCCCAGGACTGGGTTTTTCCTTACAATCCCCACAATCTGCTCTGTTGACCTCACTGAACCCCAAAGTTTCCCATCCCAGGACTGATTTTTTTTTCTTGTAAACACTCCAATTTGACACTGAACCCCAAAATTTCCCCTCCCAGGATACAGATTTTCCTTGGAATCGCCACAATCTGCTCTGTTGACCCCACTGAACCCCAAAATTTCCCCATCCCAGGACTGAGTTTTTTCTTGTGAACACCCCAATCTGACACTGAACCCCAAAATTTCCCCATCCCAGGATTGAGTTTTTCCTTGGAAGGGTCCCAATCTGCTCTGTTGACCCCAATGAATCCCAAAATTTCCCATCCCAGGATTGGGTTTTTCCTTGGAATCTCCACAGTCTGCTCTGTTGACCTCACTGAACCCCAAAGTTTCCCATCCTAGGATTGAGTTTTGCCTTGGAAACCTCCCAGTCTGCCACCGAACCCCAAAATTTCCCCTCCCAGGATACAGATTTTCCTTGGAATCGCCACAATCTGCTCTGTTCACCCCACCAAACCTCCAAATTTCCCATCCCAGGACTGGGTTTTTCATTGCAATCCCCACAATCTGCTCTGTTGACCTCACTGAACCCCAAAATTTCCCCATCCCAGGACTGAGTTTTTTCTTGTAAACACCTCAGTCTGACACTGAATCCCAAAATTTCCCCATCCCAGGACTTTTTTCTTGTAAACACCCCAGTCTGACACTGAACCCCAAAATTTCCCCTCCCAGGATACAGCTTTTCCTTGGAATTGCCACAATCTGCTCTGTTCACCCCACTGAATCCCAAAATTTCCCATCCCAGGACTGGGTTTTTCCTTGCAATCTCCACAATCTGCTCTGTTGACCTCACTGAACCCCAAAGTTTCCCCATCCCAGGACTGAGTTTTTTCTTGTAAACACCCCAATTTGCCACTGAACCCCAAAATTTCCCCATCCCAGGATTGAATTTTTCCTTGGAAGGGTCCCAATCTGCTCTGTTGACCCCACTGAACCCCAAAATTTCCCCTCCCAGGACTGAGTTTTTCATTGGAAGGGTCCCAATCTGCTCTGTTGACCTCACTGAACCCCAAAGTTTCCCATCCTAGGATTGAGTTTTGCCTTGGAAACCTCCCAGTCTGCCACTGAACCCCAAAATTTCCCCATCCCAGGATTGAGTTTTTCCTTGGAAGGGTCCCAATCTGCTCTGTTGACCCCAATGAATCCCAAAATTTCCCGTCCCAGGACTGGGTTTTTCCTTGCAATCCCCACAATCTGCTCTGTTGACCTCACTGAACCCCAAAGTTTCCCATCCCAGGATTGATTTTTTTTCTTGTAAACACCCCAATTTGCCACTAAACCCCAAAATTTCTCATCCCAGGATTGAGTTTTCCCTTGGAAACCCCCCGGTCTGACACTGAACCCCAAAATTTCCCATCCTAGGATTGGGTTTTCCCTTGGAAACCCCCCAGTGTGACACTGAACCCCAAAATTTCTCCTCCCAGGACTGAGTTTTGCCTTGGAAAGGCCCCAATCTGCTCTGTTGACCCCCACAGAACCCCAAAATATCCCATCCCACGATTTGGTTTTTCCTTGAAAACAGCCCGATCTGCCACCGAACGCCAAAATTTCCCATCCCAGGATTGGATTTTTCCTTAGAAACGCCCCCGAACCTGCTCTGTTGACCTCAGGGAATCCCAAAATCCCCCATTCCAGGAGCAGCTCCGAGACCAAGGCGCTGTTTGAGAGGCACAGGCCCACCCACGTCATCCACTTGGCCGCCATGGTCGGGGGCCTCTTCAAGAACATCCGCTCCAACCTGGATTTCTGGGTGAGCACATGGAAAAACTGGCCCTGGGGGGTGCGGTTCCCTGGGGATGGGGGATGTGGGGATGCAGGGATATGGGGGCTGGTCCTGCCTCCAGAGCCAAGAGCTCCGGTGGTTCCGGGAGTTATTAACGAGTCGTCGCTCGGCGGCGAAGGGATTTGGGGGAACGCCCATCCCGCATTCCCGACAAAACCCTCCTTTCCCAGAGGACCAACATCCACATCAACGACAACGTCCTGCACTCGGCCCACGAGATGGGGGTGGAGAAGGTGGTCTCCTGCCTCTCCACCTGCATCTTCCCGGACAAGACCACCTATCCCATCGACGAGACCATGGTGAGTGTTCCTGTCCCCCCCTCCCGCGGCATTCCAGGGAATTCCCTGCCTGACTCTCCGCTCCCCGCGTTCCCAGATCCACAACGGGCCCCCCCACAGCTCCAACTTCGGCTACTCCTACGCCAAGAGGATGATTGACATCCAGAATAGGTGAGGGACACACACAGGAGACCCTTCCCAGGGTGGGAGCACTCCCTGGGTTATCGGGCGATGGGAATCCCCGTGGGAGGGTGAGGAGGGTGGATGAGGAAGGAGGGTGATGAAACACTGGCTCAGGGAGTCCAGGGAAGTGATCCAAGGTCAGGTTGGATGGGCCTTGGAGCATCCTGGGATAGTGGGAGGTGTCTCCTTGCACGGTGGTTGGGTGAGATGACCTGAAGGAGTTCCTTTCCAGCCTAACCCATTCCATGATTCTATGCCTGAAATCCACTCCCAAATCCCTACACCCAGCCCGTGATTCTGTGACCAAAATCTGTCCCCAAATCCTCAAGCCCATCCCATGATTTTACAACCAAAATCCATTCCCAATCCCCAAACTCACCCCATGATTCTGGGAACAAAATCCATTCCCAAATCCCCAAACCCATCCTATGATGCTATGGCCAAAATCCAGTCCCATTCCCAATCCTATCCCATGACTCCATGACCAAAATCCAGTCCCATTCCCAATCCTATCCCATGACTTTACAACCAAAATCCAGTCCCAAATCCTCAAACCCATCCCATAATTCCATGACCAAAATCCAGTCCCATTCCCAATCCTATCCCATGACTCCATGACCAAAATCCAGTCCCAAATCCATCCCATGATTCTATGACCAAACTCTGTCCCCAAATCCTCAAGCCCATCCCATGATTCTGGGAACAAAATCCATTCCCAAATCCCCAAACCCATCCCATGATGCTGTGGCCAAAATCCAGTCCCATTCCCAATCCCATCCAATGACTCCATGACCAAAATCCAGTCCCAAATCCATCCCATGATTCTATGACCAAACTCTGTCCCCAAATCCTCAAGCCCATCCCATGATTCTGGGAGCAAAATCCAGTCCCAATCCCCAAATCCATCCCATGATTCTGGGAACAAAATCCATTCCCAAATCCCCAAACCCATCCCATGATGCTGTGGCCAAAATCCAGTCCCATTCCCAATCCCATCCCATGACTCCATGACCAAAATCCAGTTCCAAATCCATCCCATGATTCTATGACCAAAATCCATCCCCAAATCCTCAAGCCCATCCCATGATTTTACAACCAAAATCCATTCCCAATCCCCAAACCCATCCCATGATGCTATGGCCAAAACCCAGTCCCATTCCCAATCCTATCCCATGACTCCATGACCAAAATCCATCCCCAAATCCATCCCATGATTCTATGACCAAAATCTGTTCCCAGATCCTCAAACCCATCCCATGATTTTACAACCAAAATCCATTCCCAATCCTCAAACCCATCCCATGATTCTGGGAACAAAATCCATTCCCAAATCCCCAAACCCATCCCATGATTCCATGGCCAAAATCCAGTCCCATTCCCAATCCTATCCCATGACTCCATGACCAAAATCCAGTCCCAAATCCATCCCATGATTCTATGACCAAACTCTGTCCCCAAATCCTCAAGCCCATCCCATGATTCTGGGAGCAAAATCCAGTCCCAATCCCCAAATCCATCCCATGATTCTGGGAACAAAATCCATTCCCAAATCCCCAAACCCATCCCATGATGCTGTGGCCAAAATCCAGTCCCATTCCCAATCCCATCCCATGACTCCATGACCAAAATCCAGTTCCAAATCCATCCCATGATTCTATGACCAAAATCCATCCCCAAATCCTCAAGCCCATCCCATGATTTTACAACCAAAATCCATTCCCAATCCCCAAACCCATCCCATGATGCTATGGCCAAAACCCAGTCCCATTCCCAATCCTATCCCATGATTCCATGGCCAAAATCCATTCCCAAATCCATCCCATGATTCTATGACCAAACTCTGTCCCCAAATCCTCAAGCACATCCCATGATTTTACAACCAAAATCCATTCCCAAATCCTCAAACCCATCCCATGATGCTGTGGCCAAAATCCAGTCCCATTCCCAATCCCATCCCATGACTCCATGACCAAAATCCAGTCCCAAATCCATCCCATGATTCTATGACCAAACTCTGTCCCCAAATCCTCAAGCCCATCCCATGATTTTACAACCAAAATCCAGTCCCAATCCCCAAACTCGCCCCATGATTCTGGGAACAAAATCCATTCCCAAATCCCCAAACCCATCCCATGATGCTGTGGCCAAAATCCAGTCCCATTCCCAATCCCATCCAATGACTCCATGACCAAAATCCAGTCCCAAATCCATCCCATGATTCTATGACCAAACTCTGTCCCCAAATCCTCAAGCACATCCCGTGATTTTACAACCCAAATCCATTCCCAATCCCCAAATCCATCCCATGATTCTGGGAACAAAATCCATTCCCAAATCCCCAAATCAATCCCGTGATTCTATGACCAAACTCTGTCCCCAAATCCTCAAGCACATCCCATGATTTTACAACCCAAATCCATTCCCAATTCCCAAATCCATCCCGAGATTCTGACCAAAATCCATTCCCAAATCCCCAAATGCATCCCATGACTCCATGACCAAAATCCATCCCAAATCCCATCCCGTGATTTTAGGACCAAAATCCATTCCCAGTCCCCCCAGGATTGTGTGACCAAAACTGACCAATCTGTGACCCGTGGGATTCCCGGGATTTCAACGGCGCTGGGGTGGAAGCCGGGGGGATAGCTGGGATCAGCAGGTGGAGGTGCTGCTGGCTGGGCTCTTCTGAGGCCATCCCATCCCCTGAGACCCCCATCCCTGCTCCCAATCCAGGGGTTATTCCGAGCAGCACGGCCGGCGCTTCACCGCCGTCATCCCCACCAACGTCTTCGGGCCGCACGACAACTTCAACATCGACGACGGCCACGTCCTGCCAGGCCTCATCCACAAGGTCCACCTGGCCAAACGTGAGCCTGGCAGGACTCCTGGGGGTTTGTTTTTTTTGGAGGGGGGGGTTTTCCTCCTCCCCACCTGCTCCGTGAGGTGGTGATGGACGCGCTCCTTCCTCCTGCAGAGTCCGGCTCCGCCCTGACCGTATGGGGAACGGGAAAGCCCAGGAGACAGTTCATCTACTCCCTGGTGTGTGGGGCTTTGGGAAGCTGGGAATGGGGCTGGAAAGGCTGGAATGGGACCCAGAAGGGTCTGAGTCATCATCTACTCCCTGGTGTGTGGGGCTTTGGGAAGCTGGGAATGGGACTGGAAAGGCTGGAATGGGTCCCAGAGGGGTCTGAGCCTACCTGGGCCATCCTTGGGATTGGGTTCCCTTGGGATGGGAGGGCTAACCCAGGAGACAGTTCATCATCTACTCCCTGGTGTGTGGGGCTTTGGGAAGCTGGGAATGGGGCTGGCAGGGCTGGAATGGGACCCAGAAGGATCTGAGTCCTCCTGGTTTGTCCTGGGCCATTCCTTGGGGTTGGGTTCCCTTGGGATGGGAGGGCAGGAAACATTCCATCATCTACTCCCTGGGGTGTGGGGCTTTGGGAAGCTGGGAATGGGGCTGGAAGGGCAAAGCCAGGAGACAGTTCATCTACTCCCTGGTGTGTGGGGCTTTGGGAAGCTGGGAATGGGGCTGGCAGGGCTGGAATGGGACCCAGAAGGGTCTGAGTCATCATCTACTCCCTGGGGTGTGAGGCTTTGGGGAGCAGGGAATGGGGCTGGAAAGGCTGGAATGGGTCCCAGATGGGTCTGAGCCTACCTGGGCCATCCTTGGGATTGGGTTCCCTTGGGATGGGAGGGCTAACCCAGGAGACAGTTCCATCATCTATTCCCAGGAGTGTGAGGCTTTGGGAAGCAGGGAATGGGGCTGGAAAGGCTGGAATGGGACCCCAGAAGGGTCTGAGTCCTCCTGGTTTGTCCTGGGCCAATCCTTGGGGTTGGGTTCCCTTGGGATGGGAGGGCAGGAAACATTCCATCTACTACTCCCTGGGGTGTGGGGCTTTGGGAAGCTGGGAATGGGGCTGGAAAGGCTGGAATGGGACCCCAGAGGGGTCTGAGCCTACCTGGGCCATCCTTGGGATTGGGTTCCCTTGGGATGGGAGGGCAGGAAACATTCCATCATCTACTCCCTGGGGTGTGGGGCTTTGGGGAGCAGGGAATGGGGCTGGAAGGGCTAACCCAGGAAACAGTTCATCATCTGCTCCCTGGGGTGTGGGGCCTTGGGAAGCTGGGAATGGGGCTGGAAAGGCTGGAATGGGACCCCAGAAGGGTCTGAGTCCTCCTGGTTTGTCCTGGGCCAATCCTTGGGGTTGGGTTCCCTTGGGATGGGAGGGCAGGAAACATTCCATCTACTGCTCCCTGGGGTGTGGGGCTTTGGGAAGCTGGGAATGGGGCTGGAAGGGCAAAGCCAGGAGACAGTTCATCATCTACTCCCTGGGGTGTGGGGCTTTGGGAAGCTGGGAATGGGGCTGGAAGGACAAAGCCAGGAGACAATTCATCATCTAATCCCAGGGGTGTGGGGCCTTGGGAAGCTGGGAATGGGGCTGGAGAGGCTGGAATGGGACCCCAGAGGGGTCTGAGTCCTCCTGGTTTGTCCTGGGCCATTCCTTGGGGTTGGGTTCCCTTCCATCTACTACTCCCTGGGGTGTGGGGCTTTGGGAAGCTGGGAATGGGGCTGGAAGGACAAAGCCAGGAGACAGTTCATCATCTACTCCCTGGGACGTGGGGCTTTGGGAAGCAGGGAATGGGGCTGGAAAGGCTGGAATGGGACCCCAGAGGGGTCTGAGCCTACCTGGGCCATCCTTGGGGTTGGGTTCTCTTGGGATGGGAGGGCAGGAAACATTCCATTTACTGCTCCCTGGGGTGTGGGGCTTTGGGAAGCTGGGAATGGGGCTGGCAGGGCTGGAATGGGACCCAGAAGGATCTGAGTCCTCCTGGTTTGTCCTGGGCCATCCTTGGGGTTGGGTTCCCTTGGGATGGGAGGGCTAACCCAGCAGACAGTTCCATCATATATTCTGGGAGTGTGAGGCTTTGGGAAGCTGGGAATGGGGCTGGAAAGGCTGGAATGGGACCCCAGAAGGGTCTGAGTCCTCCTGGTTTGTCCTGGGCCATTCCTTGGGGTTGGGTTCCCTTCCATCTACTACTCCCTGGGGTGTGGGGCTTTGGGAAGCTGGGAATGGGGCTGGAAGGACAAAGCCAGGAGACAATTCATCATCTATTCCTGGGGGTGTGGGGCTTTGGGAAGCTGGGAATGGGGCTGGAAAGGCTGGAATGGGACCCCAGAGGGGTCTGAGCCTACCTGGGCCATCCTTGGGGTTGGGTTCCCTTGGGATGGGAGGGCTAAACTAGGAGACAGTTCATCATCTATTCCTGGGGGTGTGGAGCCTGGGGGAGCAGGGAATGGGGCTGGCAGGGCTGGAATGGGACCCAGAAGGGTCTGAGTCCTCCTGGTTTGTCCTGGGCCATTCCTTGGGGTTGGGTTCCCTTGGGATGGGAGGGCAGGAAACATTCCATCTACTGCTCCCTGGGGTGTGGGGCCTTGGGAAGCTGGGAATGGGGCTGGAAAGGCTGGAATGGGACCCCAGAGGGGGCTGAGCCTACCTGGCTTGTCCTGGGTCGGGTTCCTCGGGATGGGAATGCCGGGAACAGCAGTGACCCCCTCAAGGGTCGCGTGCTCTCCCACAGGACCTGGCCCGGCTCATCCTGTGGGTCCTGCGGGAATATGACGAGGTGGAGCCCATCATTCTGTCAGGTGAGCCCTCCCAGACTCCCCCCACCCCACTCCATCCATCCCCCTCTCCACGAGGGCCCAGCCACGATCCCGCCCTGCTCCGCAGTGGGAGAAGAAGATGAGGTGTCCATCCGGGAGGCGGCGGAGGCCGTGGCTGAGGCCATGGATTTCAGGGGAGAGCTGGTTGTATCCTTCCCCCAGGGGGACATCCCGTGCTCCAGAGCATCCCACCAGGATGGGGGGTGGGGGGAAACCAACCCCAGTTTTCCCTCCTTAATCCCTCCCCACCCCAGTTTGACCCCAGCAAGGCGGACGGGCAGTTCAAGAAGACGGCCAGCAACGCCAAACTGCGGCGGTACCTGCCCGGCTTCCAGTTCACTCCCTTCAGGAAAGGTGAGCTCCTGCCTCTGGGGGCATCTGGGTGCTCCATCCTATGGGGTGAGGAAGGAGGGTGGTGCAAAGCTGGC